CAATGGAGGCAGTTACTTGGGCCTATCTCAGCCTTGGGCAGCAGGGGGTGCTGTGGCCTGTCCCCGAAGTCTGTGTTGTGGATATCAGCTGGGAGCCACATGCTAGCCCTGGGCTGAAGCCCCCTGCCCTTTCCCCCCATGGTTAGCAGCTGAGTACTCACAGGTTCCTGGGGAGCCACAGAACACCCTACACAGTTCCGCCTTCCTTCCAGGGTCCGCTTTCAAGAAACAGGTCAGAGTCAGGGCCCAGGTGGGGCTTCGACAGTTCTGGAAAGGAGGCTGCTTTGTATGAAGAGTTCCCCCTCACCCTGGACTGCTAGGGTGATAAGAGAGACTTGGGGAGCCCAGGTCCAGCTGAAGGTCCTCAGGATACAGAACTGTGGGGGGTCCCTACCATGGCCTGGGCGCCTCCTTTTCAGTCTCTCCTCATTCACCGCATGGGTGGCTGGAGCCCAGTCTCAGAACTGGGAACGAAAGGAATGAGGACTCTGTTTTCCTGTCCACTGACCTGCCACTCTCACCCCGTGTTTGTCCACATATCGTGGTTCTGAAACAATCTCTGCTGACTCAGTGGTGTGCCGGGTTCACATCTGTGGGGCAAACGGCCAGTGTTTATCGCACTGGAAGCAGCAGCAAGGCTGAGTGTGGGCCTGTGTCCTGGAACCAGCATCACCTAGCAGTGTCCCTAAACTGCTCATACGATATCAGTCACTGGACCACACTGGTCCAAGCCCAGTTATAGGACTTCAGGTCAAACAACACGGCCTCCCTGAGCATCTGTGGGCTACAGGTAGAGAACGAGGCTGACTCCTATGCTCAGCTTGAGATCCAGGAATCCATACTCGTGCAGTGCTGCAGGCCGGTGGCTAAATGGGAGAAAAACCTGCTGTCTACCCAGTGATAAGGCATCCCTGGGAAGTCCCTCCCATTGACCAAGTAAGGTAATTAACACAGTGGCCAAAATTTAAAGTCTCAGACCTACTCCAGTGAACACGGTCTACAGAATGTGTCCCGTTCTGTGCAATTCTATCCACACATCCCACTCTTAGCAACAACACATTGCCATATTGCCTCATATAGAGAAAAACCTGTCAGTACCACGGTCAGGCTGCCCTGGGAGCCAAGTCCATGGCAGGTCAGGACAAGACTAAGAGTCCCCTGTGTCTGACCCAGGACAGCCAGATACCAGAGGTCTGTCCACCCACAGCATTTGCTGAGCACCTACTGTGTGCCAGACACAGGGTGAAAGACTGAGGACACAGGGAGGACAACACAGGATGGTGCCTGTCCTCATAGAGCTGAAACCGACTTGTAAAAAAGACACCCAAGTAAAAATATTGATGCAATAAGATGATATCGCACAGTGAGGGGAGGAGAGCTTGGGTGGGTGGAGGAGCCGTTGGCGGGTTGGGGAAGAAGGACACAGGATCTGAGGTAAGTTTGTGAGGACAATTCCGGTCGCTTCAGAGAAGATGGACAAGGAGGTAGAAAGTGTGAAGGCCGTGGGACCAGCTGGGGTCACCGGGAGAGAGTGGTCAGACTGAGCACCAGCTTCTGGTGAGGAGGGACTGAAGCCTGGGTGAGGGGCGAGGCGGGCCTTAGCCCCTGAGCAGGGCACAGTGATTACACTACTCGGGGTCCTTCAAGTCTTGGGGGCTGCAGGAAGCCTTAAGCTCATTGTCACAGTGAAAACTTAGACAACACTTCCCAGCCTTGATCAAATGTGTCACAGGACCTTTCCCTCTCCATGTGGCAAGAAGGAGAGAAAACATCTCAGATGTATGAGATGTCAATTCTCCCTAATCTCTCCTATCCACTGGCTGAATTCCTATTTGGAAAAAAATGGACTCCCCAATTTCACATATTACATCCTCACTATAAAAATTCCAGAATGAGAAAGATCTGTCCTTTCTGACCCACTGGTCAGAATTCTCAGCCTTCAGGACAAACAGACTATTCATGCCATCTCCCACGACAGCTTCATGGTGAACACGGAGCCTATCTGACTGCTTTTGGCCACACATGGCCTGTCCCTAACATTGCAGCTGGTGACATTTACATGCTAAACTCGTGGCTGGGAGATCTGGGGTCCAGTCATGAGAGGACAAGAAAAAAAAACCAGGAGACATGCCTGAGTAGCCCCACTGTGTGAATCACTCTACCCTCCACGCTCATCTTTAGTTCGTGATGGGTGTTGTCTAGTGAAGACTGAAAGCTGGGCTGGGACACAGGCAAGCGTGTCTCTGTCTCCTAAAACTCCATCTTGGGCTCCCTGACCTTTCTGATATCCTTTCACAGATCAGTTCCAGGCTAAGACACACAACGCCCATCAGGGAGGCATTGATCGGAGAATCAGGTCGTGTTTGGAGAGACAGAAAGCAGATAAACACCCTCATGTTGGCCTCCTAAGCACAGAGGAGAAAAAATTTTAACAAAAGGAAAAGGGATTTCAAGAAGCCACACTAGAGGTCACTGATCGCCACCACCTAGTCACTTGTTCTCCATCTGCTCCTGCTCCTCTTTCACCTGAGGACCAGACTTAGGGGACAGCACCTGCCCCTCCCCTCTGTTCATGCACTCCATAGGGTGCCTCCTTCTGCTCCCATCCCAAGGCTGCTGCTCCCTCAGGTCACCTGTGTCACTGCTGAGAGTCCTCCCTGGGTCCTTGTCCCCGGGTCTGAGATCAGTATCAACCTGCCTCTGACTCAGCTGTGACCCTGCCTCTTCAGGACACAAAGCCAACTATTAGAGACATAACTGAACTCTCCGAGTTTACTCAAAGCTTAGTTTCTTCTTCTCAGTGTCCTTCTAGAAAGTGCTGTCTCTACCTAATAATGTCATATTATTTCCTCAGGTCTAGGGCCGTTTGATTTCCAAAACCCTATGCTCACTCTTACGTTCTCATTCCCTCACATGGCTCATTTTCCACTCAGCAGCTAATGACGCCCACCATGCATCGACAGCCCATTGTCACAAAAAAGAGAGGTGGGAGGGTTCCTTAATAAATACAGGGTTAGCAGAGAAAAGTTTCATTACCTCTTAGAAAACACTCCAAGATCTAGGAAAATTCATTCCAGAGCTTCATGAGTTTACCCCTGAAAAACAACGGCAGGAATACATTAGGTAGTGCATGTTCCCGGCCTTCTCAATGAATAACCTCAGAAAGGTTCAGAGTAGACGTTTCCAAAAGGTAAGAGCATGACTTTTACAAAAATCTAGTATTAACTAATCTCGACAATTTTACGTGGCATAAATATTTTTGAAGAAAAGCAGTATGATGCTTAAAAAAAAATTAAAAGGCCTTTTTAAATACAGTGCACACAGTCTACAAGTATAGCACCTGTGAAGCAAATTTTCTTTGTTGAAGATACACTGTCTTTTAAAATAACAGCAAAATAGCTTTGAATTTGTCTTCTTCTCTCACAACAAGCCAAAAATTTACACGATCCCATTTATATGAAACTTCTTTTTTTAAAAAGCCTGTCCACTTGAACATTTTCATGTCACACCTCCCATCCAGGCTCTCCTACAGTGAAACGTCCTCTTCTGCTGCCCATGCTCTCCCTCTCTCCACGCCTCTCCCCACTCACACGTGGCTCCTCCCTGCCTTCCTTTCCAGTAGCCCCAGCAGATAAGGCCAAACCAGTAAACAAGCTTCTGGACTTGGGGAACAAAAGTACATCTTCTTGGATTCCTGAGGACTTGCCCTGCAAGGGTGTCTTCTAAATCACAATCCCTCCTTCCAGGGAGTCCGCGTCTCCTAGATCCTGTTATTTATGTGACACATCTGTGTCTACCTTGTGGACTTCCCTACATCTTCACCTGAATACAGGGATCTTCAGGTCAGGCTGATATCCCCGTGGCTCTCCTATAGTTTCTCTTCTTTCTTCCTCTGATTCCACCAAATCATCTCTTCCTGGACCCTTGAGTGCAGAAGGGCCTCTCTGATCTCTGACCCAGGGATTAAGGAAATGGAAGAGGACTCCAGTGCCCCTCCGATGCCTTTGTTTTTATTAGGATCAACTGCAAAAGGCAGGAATTAAGCTTTCTAGATCAACATGGCATTTCCAACACTGAGCTCTATGCCCAGCAAAAGATACATGCTCAATAACTATTTGACAAAGACCTACCTCTTATGACATGGGGTACATTCTACTGACCCCAGGATGGGGCTGAACTGGGACCTGCTCGTCTCTCTGCCCTCACCCTAAGAGCTGATGTGGCATCCACCAGAAAGAGCACTCACAGGCAGGGAGGGGATCATGGGCAACCTTCTCCTGTATGTGAGACACTGCTCAGCCTGGTCACAGAACCCACATTATGATGACTGCAATTCTGGGGCAGTGGAGAACACAGCTTTGCCAGAATAACCATCTGGGAATGTGCCCTGGGCATCCTAGAGGAAAGAGCTCCCTTTCAACTCAGTGCTGCAGGATCACAGAGGAAGGAGAGCTCTGGCCACCAAGAAGGAGCCACATGAGAGGAGAGGTCCCCATGTGGGAAGTGAGTTCATGAAGGTCAGTCCCTGCTCTGTGTTTGATTCTGACCTGAGGACGTTGTGTAGTCACCACCTGAGTTCTCTACAATAAACGGTGAGAGCGCCATGGACAGATTCACCCCTGAGGAGCCCAGTAAAGTGTGAGGACAGTCCTGAGGTTACAGGGACAGGATACAGGTACCATCTGACCTGACCCAGAGAGGGGACAGAGAACAGAGCAGCAGGGAGGTGGCGGTGTCTCTGAGAGGCTCTTGTCACATTGTAAATGGTTTGTTTTGGTCTGGACACCAGGAGGCGCTTGAGAACCATTCCTGAGAAGACTGGGGGTGATTAGAGCAGAACCAGCCACCTGCCCTGCCTGGTGACCTCTTCTCAGGGTTCACAGCTGGGTCCTCCCCACCCCTTCGGACCACAGTGCCCCAAACCTGCCACCCCCTGACATCCTGAGGCATAGGGACCTTACCTATGGGCCCAGGGTGGGATTAGAAAGCTGGGGGGTCTGATTTGCATGGATGGACCCTCCCACTCTCAGATATGAAGAGGGTCAGGGAGACATTTGGGGAAGCTCTGCTTCAGCTGTGGGCACAGAAGGCAGCACTCAGGACAATCTCCAGCATGGCCTGGGCTCCTCTCCTCCTCACTGTCCTGGCTCACTGCACAGGTGACTGCATGGGGTCCAGGGGAGGGGCCCTGGGAAGCCTATGGATTCTTGCTTTCTCCTCTTGTCTCTACACCCAGAATGATGATGCCTGTGTGTCTCCCACTTCCAGGATGCTGGGCCCAGTCTGTGCTGACTCAGCCACCCTCAGTGTCTGGGAACCCTGGGCAGAGGGTCACCATCTCCTGTTCTGGAAGCAGTTCCAATATCGGAAGTAAGTATGTAAGCTGGTACCAGCAGTTCCCAGGAACGGCCCCCAAACTCCTCATCTATGAAAGTAATAAGCGACCCTCAGGGGTTTCTGACCGATTCTCTGGCTCCAAGTCTGGCAACTCAGCCTCCCTGGCCATCACTGGACTCCAGGCTGAGGACGAGGCCGATTATTACTGCTCAGCATGGGATAGCAGCCTGAGTGCTCGCACAGTGCTCCAGGCCAATGGGGAACTGAGACAAGAACCCCCTTCCTCCTCTGCCGGGAAGCTGAGTCCCTAGCAGCTGCTGCTCAGGCCTGTTCTGTGGCTTCTGCTGCTGAAACTTCCCCACTGGTCCCAGCGGCATCCAGGGCCCTGCCTGAGAGCAGAGGCTCCATTTCTTCATACTCAGTCAGGAACAGGAACTCTAAGAAACAGAACTTCCTGATCTTGCATCTTGGGACACAGGGTCTCTGCACTGCAACACTTGGCTGAGGTGGCAGGGACAGCTGTGTCATCACAGACCTTCCTCTGATGGGGAGCCTCTGTCTCCATCATCCACCTTTCCACGATTCCAAAAGTTTCCAGAGGGGTGCCTTTCTCTCCTTGGTCCACAGTGTGAATCCCAATTCTTTTCTCCTAAGCCCATTCTTTATTAATAAAATTCTTTTCATGGAGGAATTGTGCACATAAAATAAACCACCCATAGTTTTGTTAGAAATTAGACACATTTTAGCTTTTTTTCTGAATCCTCAAAAACGTCACCACCACTGAGCCATGCAGCCTGTGTCCAACCCCAGCAGCTCTTCATGACACTTTGCTTTCTAACATCTCCTTCCCTCCCCCAACACCCTCCTTAAAAGCCAGAGATCTGCCTCTGCCACTGTTCGGCTTCCATTTTCTGGGATGTATCATGTATCACACATGATCTTCCTGTTTTTTCAGGCTTTGTTCACTTTGTTCATTCTCCCTGTCGTTGCTGAATTGCACCCATCCCATAGGGGGCTAGTATATTTGATGGTCTCTAGGGCATTTTGCCTTTTTTACAGCAAAATCACATAGATTAAAGTAATTCATGTGAAGAAACACATGGGCAGAGTTCAAGAGAATTCCAGCACAAGCATTTAGGTGTCCTCTCCCAGTGGAGTAATAGACAATGCTGCAATCTTCTGGCTGTAATGTGTGATTCTGACCTATGCTCGCTCTGGAGAGGTTTAACTGTGTGCTTTAACAGCAGTGATAACTGATGTGTTCTAGGTCAGAATCCATGAGAGGACAAGTGTCAGTGGTGAGGTGCCTGATTCAGGGGCACACTGATTTACAGAGTGGGCAGCTCTGATTTGGGGGTGCTAGTGGTGTCAGCCCATGAAGATTTTTTTTAGGTATTCTTGAAAAATATTAGGAAATCTAGGGCAGGATTTCAATGACAGCTAGAGAAAGTAGTGCCAAATAAGAATGAGCAGGGTATAGACAAGTAATGGGTGTGAACTGGACTGGAAATACAGTGGTAATGTCACAGAGATACATCAATAGGTATTTGTTAAGTGAGTGAGTCTAGAAACCCATGGGAGGTTTGCACAGTTAGCACAAGAGTAGATGTGGGCTACGTTGAACACGTGATGGTCTCTGCCTTTATCTGCCCAAACATTTACCACGTCTACAAAAAACAGATTGAGGTTAAAATATCTACTGAACTGCCTAATATGCAGAAAATATCCAGGAAGAAAACAGAGGTGGTAACATCAATAGACAAAAATTTTATAACATATAGGTCAAATTCTTGGCCAAAATATATGACACTACTGAACGCAAAATCGCAAGTTTTACTGAGGGAGATAATGGCTAACTTCAAAAATAGAGAAATAGGTCACACTATCCACCAGTAAAGGTAAGTCCACCTAATCTATTCATTTCCTTCTATGACTAAATTGAGTCAAATCTCTGTAAAATGTCTGCAACAATTGTATAGATAACTTTTGCTGAATTGCTGCCTTTAACATGTCATAAATAATTTATTTTCCCTGGAAAATTTCCTTTTCACTGTTCTCCTGAACAGCCCCTACATGCCTGTCGATCTAGCTCTTCTGCCGACCCCTTCTCTGTGATGTCTACCTGGAAGGCACATGTGAGCAATTAGATATTCAGAAGACACTGTGAAGATGCTGACTCATTTAAAAGATGTATGTACATGTGAGCACACCCAAATGGACCAAGTAATGCTCTGAGGTTGAGAAATCACAGTTCCCATGTGTAGCATTACGGAATCAGTGTGTATGAATGACAGTATGGATGTGTGACTAGAAACAGTGAGTGGTGAGCTGCAGAGACCGAATGGGCCACGGGAAGGTGTGTGTCCTCTAACCAGCATGGGATGCTGTGGAACTGTCCTATGGTCCCTACACAGCTGCTCAGTAAGGACCATTCAATCAAAGAAACCCAGGCTTGGGACCAAGGCTCCATGCTCACTGCTTGAGACTAAGCAGCTCTGTCCTCCCCTGGCCTGGCAGAATACCCGGAGCAGGGACTTGAGTCCATTCTTAGTGGGTGCTTCCTCCCTGGGCCTTCACTAGAAAGAAAGCAAACTTTCCTCTTCCTGTCTGTAGTGTGAGCTGAACTACAGCCCAGGGCTGAGGGAGGAGCTGGGCAGTCTCTCGGTAGAAACACATTTCCATGAGCAGCCCCTGCTCTGCAGAGTGGGAAGAAAAAGAGGCCTCGGGCAGCTGAACCCCACTGTGGGGTCGGGCTTAATCAACCATGGTTTAGATTTCTCTTTTTCCCCACTTCTCTCTCACTGCACAGTTAGGGACAGGCTCCAGAGACCAGGGGCAGCCACCCAGCATGATTCTGGCCATTCTGGCAGAGATCCATAAAACATTTCACCCTAGGAGGTGTGTTTTCAGGTTTCCTCTCTCAGTCTGTGCTGACACAGCCAGCCTCTCTCTCTGCATGTCCTGGAGCATCAGCCCGGCTAATCTGCACCATCCAAAGTGACATGTTGGTAGCTACCGGATATGGATTGCTCCCGGGTATCTCCTGAGCTACTACTCAGACTCAAGTAAATGCCAGGGTTTTGGAGTCCTCAGCCGCTTCTCTGGATCCATAGGTACCTCGGCCAATGCAGAGCTTTTACCCACCTCTGGGCTCCAGTCTGAGGGTGAAACTGACTATTACTGTATGCTTCGGCACAGCAGCGCTTTTCACAGTGACACACACAGGAAGAGACGTAGGAAAAAAACATGACCTACTCTCACTCTTGTTCTGTGACACTTTTCAAACATACCCAAGGCTCCCCCTCTCTCCTCTTTCCCAGACACCCCCTGGCTTTCTCTTTCTACAGAACTAAAAAGGAGTTGGCCACAGAGGGCAAAGGGAGGTCCCGGCATTATCCCAGACAGCAGATCCAATGCTAAAATAACTGGCTTATACAGATACTACGTTTGGAACTATTTTCTAGCTGCAAAGCACTCTTCCTTCAATTTCCCATCCATTTTTATGAAGTCTCAGTAAGACAAAAACAAAACCAAAGCACCTGATGACACTGAAGTGTTGGCTGAGTGTCCACATGTGCTATTCTTTCAGTAACACGAGTGATGGCAGCTAACACCGGTGCCTGTGGAGCTGGGCCTTTTTTCTTGAAAGAAGAAAAATGAGCCTTTCCTAGCTCAACTTACAGTCAGAGCCTGGGAACAATCTAGCAGGTGAACAGTCCCCTGGAGCATGGACTCTGCTCTTCCATGGTTCAAACCAGAGACCTCCCCTCACACCCCAGTGGTCTGTGCTCAGGGCTGTCTGAGGCTCACAGTGTCCCAGGAACAAGGCACTCCAACGTGAAATGCTGCATGAGGACGCAGGTCAGTGGGGATTTCAAGCACAGAATTGACTTGGCTCAGTGTTGGGAACCTACATTTCAGTTGTAATATCAGAGAGAGGGTTAGGTGTGGGGCTAACTAAGGCCGGAAACCCTCTATGTAGGACATGAGACGGTGAAGGGGAGGCTCCACCATAGCTGAAACAGGGCTGAGTGTGCTCCTTGGCCATTGGGAAGTTGGTTCTAGGAAGTGTCTTTCCTGCAGCTCATCTCACTCAGGACCACGGGGACTGCGGAGGGTGGGTTTCCGGGTCCCTCAGGGCCTGTATGTGTTCTCTTCTCCCCTCTTACACCACTGGAGCTTCTCACAGAGGCAGGTTCTAATGGTGGGTCTGTGGAATATCCGGCTACAGAAACTGCCAATATTTACTTCAAGTGACTCCTCCCTGTGAAACTCTTGAGGAGGCTCCTAGCTTGAGGTCAGCTTTTCCTGCACGGAAAGCAACAGAAACATTAGGCATTCCCACGGAAGTGGCCACTGAGGGATCCCTGAGAGAGCACACGTATTTGAGACCCAGAAGAGCAGTGATGGACCTTCAGGCGTCCCAGCCTAATTCTCCTGCTGTAGCTTTGTTGACACAGCCTTCTTGACCACCTCTGGGCTCCAACCTGAGGACGAGGCTGACTATCACTGTCACATAGCTGCATCCAGACTCCGTGTCACCAAGATCTCCTGTTCCATGGAGAAATGAGTGAAAGATCACCCCGACTCTTCCTGGATGTCCAGTCCCTCCACTATCAATGTCTGTGACCAACAGTAGTTGATGCTAGGGCTTCTGCTGTCACTTGTGTTGCTGTCACAGAGCATGACTTCAGTGAAAATCACTCTTTTTCTTATTGATGTCCCGGCACAAACAGAATCAGTTTGTTTCCTGAAGCAAAAGGATTTGCCCACACATTGCGGATGTGGATGCAAGAAGAATCCAGCCTGTGTGACTCAGAGATCCAGGTGCCCTCTGCCTGGCCTTTTCAGTGTTCCCTCTTCTTGGTACAGGTATGCTGGCCATTATCTGACCTCTGAAACTGAGGGAGAGATGACAAGAAAGGAAAATCTCGCCTGTTTGCCCTAGAGGCCCATATGTGAGTGGAAGTCTGATATTTAAGGAAATGTGGGCTTCGCATTTAGAGAGGTCTGGCTCTGGCTTGGCCTAGGGCTGGTCTAGAACAGAAGCAAAAGAGATGCTCAGCCTTGTAAAGCTCAGTCACCACTGTGCTGTCAAGGGGCTGATCTATCCGCACTGTGAATATCCTGTGGAGACGTCCATAGAGAGGCTGAAATTCAAGGATGATGGAAAAAAACCAAATTGAAATAAGCAGGAGATGTTTTTGGGGGAATGAGGAATGAGGTGTGGGGTCATTGGTAAGAAAAGTACAGCCTGAAAAACTACTGTCCATTGTGACCCTTAAGAGGAGGAGCCCTGGGGACTAGAGTAGTGACAAAGAAACCC